GGGGGGCTCCGGTGCCGGTGCCGCGTTCGGGCTGGCTGGGCCGGCGCCGCCAGGCTCTCCTCCGCGCAGCGAAAGGCGGGGGGCGGCAGGTGGACGCGTAGAGCCTCGCGACCCTTTCCGCGCTCCCTCGGAGCTCCCGGCCGGCAGGGGCCTCCGGTCCGGGGAGCAGCCGGGGCGCGTGTGTCTCCAGCTGCTCCCTTGGCCGGCGGTTCGGCTTCCCCATCGGGGGCGGCGGAGGAGGCGGGGGGGCTCCTGCCTTTGGAAAGCGGCGCCTCTTTTTGCGGAAAGAAAAAGAGCGGAGAACCGATCGGGGACGCCCGGGAAGCTTCAGGTGGGAAACGAGGCGGTGGGAGAGCTTTGGAGCCTTTGCTGGCTCACGTGAATCGGTCCTGCGCCCATCCTGAAGGGTTCCTGCCCCGGGCTAAGCTTCCAGGGACGTGGCTTCCTGGCCTCTTTCCTCGGGCGAGCCAAGGAAACAGATCGAGACGGGAAGGTCATTTTATGAAATTTGAACGTCCTGGCAAAAAAAAACCGGACTCCTCTCATTCAAAGAGGGAACCCAGAGGTCAGCTTTCGGTCCCTTTGATCAAAGAAAAAGCAAGAGAAAAGTTGGGCAGGGCAAAAATAACTCCTCCTTGGCATTCTAAATCAGTTACATGGAGTTAAACATTGCATGTTACAACACACCTGTGTCCATTTAAATGAGGTCTGACGAAAGGGGGGGGCATAAATTTTAAGATGTGAATGACAAAAAAAAAGAGAGTCATAAAGTAGTTTGGAGTTCACAGAGAGACAAACCAGACCAACTCCAAACATCCCATCCTATTCTGATCTGGGGAACAAAGACAGTTTTTATCTTGAAGCTTGGGAATGTTACAAGTTCTCAATTAAACCATTAGCATCATTTAAAAAGAGAGAAAAATAAGTTAGATTAAAATACACAATAACTATGTTAGTTAGCACGTGCAACAATACTACAAAGTCAATGTTGATACTACAAAATCCATCCTGTGTAGATTTCACCCCAAAACATGAACCGCTGTATCCAAATCACTGGTCACTATCAGTGGTGAGAAAAAGCTCTGGCCCCAGATTTAGGTGCAACCATCCTGTGGAAGCAGGTGGGCAGGACAGAGAGAAAGAAGCTGCTCCATCTGCCCTGCAAACTCTCTCAGCTGTGTTTGCTACATGCCCCCCCCCCCCCCAAAAAAACCAATCCATAAAGGGAGGTGGTTGGACCACCCACGATTTCCAGAGGCCAGCTGTTCCACTGGTTAATTGTCCTCACAGTTAGGAAGTTTCTCCTTAATTCCAGGTTGCGTCTCCTTGATTAGTTTCCATCCATTGTTTCTTGTCCTGCCCTCCGGTGTTTTAGAGAATAATTTGACTCCCTCTTCTTTGTGGCAGCCTCTCAAATACTGAAATGATGCTATCATGTCACCCCTTATTCTTATTTACCTTAGATAACCCAAAAAGAAGGGGGGAAAGGTGAAAAGAGAAAGGCAAAAAAGTAGTGACTTTTCCCGACTTTTTTCAATGTAGTAAGATAAAAATATATATTTGTGTCCTCAATCTTTTGCTAAACATTTCTAAATATTTCAAACCATTTCTGTAACAGCAAAATCATTCTAGTCATCAAAGCCTAGTGTTTTCATTTTTGAGCAAAAAGTCCAGAAGCAGTTGCCAGCATGAACTTTCCTCTTCAGAAAACGTTCCTAGTCCTCATTGTCCTTCTGATCCAATGACCTGTGAGGCTTTCCTCAAGTATGGAATTCAGTGCAGGCTGAATTCCAAAGTCATCGCTCGAGGGTTACTTTCGCTTGGCCTCCTCCATCTTGCTTGCTCTTCTCTTCCAGGTTGGGTGACTGAGAGGGAGACTTCCACAATGGAGGAGAGGAAGAAGAAGAGCCCGAAGGCTCACCTCACCCAGCCGGTGCCTGCGAGTGCGCTGCGCAAGCTGCCTGGTCCGGCCAGCAAGAGTGCCTCTTTCTCGCTGGGGACGCCACACCTCTCATCTCCAAGGCCAAGAGCCAAGTTTAAGAGGTCAGCGTGAGGACGGGGCAGAGCAGGCCTCTGAGGGCATTGGGCCAGGCCAGGCACTGGCATTCTGGCAGCATTTTCAGGAAGGGCAGTGTCATGCGCCTGTTGGAGTTTGAATCCAAGGAGGAAGATGAACAGCCATCAGGGAGTGGGAGTGTGGCTCCGTTGGCTATGGAGGAAACTGGGGAAGGGCAAAGTCCGGCTGGGCAGAGCAGGGAAGAGGTAGAAAAAGAGAGAGGGAATTCAGAGCAAGACCCAGGCCCACCCCCACTTCATCCTAGGGTACGCAGGGAGGGACGGAGAAGAGAGCAACGTGGGTTGCGTGGCTTACGGGGGAGGAAAGGGTTCTGATTCCCTTCATTAGCCACACCTGGGAAGAGAGTTTAAAAGAAATGCATGCCGAGTGTGGCATCTGCTGGGAGCAATGTGAGTTTATCTTGTGTTGAATTTGGTTATCTGCGTTCCTGGCATCTTCCCAACCATGTTGAGTTATTGCTGTTCCTTCATGTCTGGAATTCACTCTCCTGCCCTGCCAAACTAACTACCTCATTTTGCCTTGATTGGACTTATAGTTACAGTTTTTGTTGACCACGTTTTGGACTTGATTCTTTGCAGCCAAAGGCTGTTCCGGGGAGAGTTTTTCTCCAGCCAGAAGGTAACCAGGACATTGGGGGCAAAGTTGGAGCTAATAAAGGGACTCCTACTGATTGTCTGACTGTGTTGCCTTTGTGCCACCCCCCTTTGGGTCATCACAGGCAGGTAGAATCTCACATAGATGGAAGATTCATTTATTTTAGATCGCTATTCCAGCCCATGTCAGAAGCTGGCTCAGAGCATCATAAAGCACTAGAACCAACCCCAGCAAACAAGGATGAGAACAAAAGGCAACGGGGAAAAGCATTTGACTATTTTAAACAAAACTATAATAAGTAACAGAACTCTTTCAACTGGGGGCAGCAATCTGAGCTTGGAAAAGTAGCCGAGTCAGGGCTGGGTTGAAACTTCAGAGTTGACAAAAACTTCTCAGAAGCCAATTAAAAACTGCTCCAGTCTTGCCACTAAGAAATCTGTCTAGTCCTGCTGATGAAGTCACGAGGAAACAACCTCGACTGGGGTGAAACACGGAGCTGAGCCCACGTGGGTTCTTCCTCAGATAAGTGTTACTGACACCCGAGGGGGCTCTATGTGCATTTTAAAACGTTTTGTGACTCGCACTTGAGTTGTGCCTCTAATCTTGTGCCTTAGTGTTATCTGAAGCATAACCTGCTTCAGATCTCATTGAGCAATCAGGGGTTTGAAAGCTCATCCTGCAGTGATGGGTTTGAGTCAAGGGTCTGAGGGGGCCCCTCAGCTCAGTTAAGATACTTCTTTCACATTCTCCTAGCATTATACCAGAGGTCTCCAAACTTGGCCACTTTAAGACGGGTGCACTTCAACTCCCAGAATTCTCCAGCCAGCTATGCATTATATAATCACAATTCAGTAAAAGAAAACTTTAATAGGGCCAGTCGGGTCCAGATGTATTTGCACAGCATGTTTGATGTGGTCACCAAGCTAGCTTCCTTTCTGAGTTTGCACATTGCAGTGAACTCTTTAAGTCACAAAAAACCATTCAGAGTTATAACCAGACAAGCCTAGGTTTGTGCAAATGCAGGTATATGTATGTCAAGGGACCACTGCATTTATGGTGCAGAGTTGCAGGAGGGCAGGTGGGAACATGGAGGCTCAGCCAGCAGTATAAAAACACCCCATCAGCAGCTTTTTAATAGGCAGTCAAAATGCCAGTCCTTGCAAGTCACCCTTCAGGCAATGCCAAAGCTTTTTCTGCAGGGGAGGACAGCTGCTGTGCCAACCGGCCAGCCGCTTGGCCAATCTTGAGGGGTGGGGAGCCTGCTTTTGTCTCGAAGCCTGGCTGGTTTCCTGCTATTATCGCCTCAGAGTTCACCTGTCCTTGTTTTCTGTGGCAGAGCAAGCAAGGAGACATCACGAGTTCCCCAGCTTGGGGGCAATGCGGGGTCTGTGGTGGGCACCCCCCTGCAGCATTCGTTCCTGACCGACGTCTCTGATGTGTATGAGATGGAAGGGGGCCTCCTTAACCTGCTGAATGATTTCCATTCAGGGAAGCTGCAAGCTTTTGGTAAGGTCTTTGATACTGGGATATCTCTAGGACAGAGGTCTCCAAACTTGGCCACTTTAAGACTTGTGGATTTCAACTCCCAGAATTCTCCAGCCAGAATTGAAGTCCACGAGTCTTAAAGTGGCCAAGTTCGGGGACCCTCACTCTAGACTGTGTTATGCTGGGCAGAGAGAGAAGAGGCAGGTTTAAATCCTAAATTATCTCTAATCTTGTCTAGCTGGTTTAGAAAGGCTCTTAGCCATTTGTGAAATCAGAGATGAATTAAATGGATTATTTATTTATTTAGTCAAATGCTTACAATATAATAGAAATAAAAAAAAAACACGAGTAAGAATATAGGAAATAAGTACGAATAAATGGGGACAATAGGACAGGGATGGTAGACACGATGTTGGGGAACTATGTCCCCTCTATGACTTGTGGACTTTAACTCCCAGAATTTCTAAGATAGCCATGGCTGGTTCAGCAATTCTGGGAGTTGAAGTCAAGTCATAAAAGGGACCATAGTTCCCAGCCCTGTTGTAGAATAAAGCTTTAATTTTTTATTTTTTATTTGTCAATTGCTTACAAGATAATAGGTATAAGTAAAAACATAGTTATGAATACATGGATACATATAAGAAAAATAAAAAAAAATATATAAGAAACAATAGGACAGGGACTGTAGGCACATTGGTGCACTTATGCACGCCCCCTACAAGACCTCTTAGGAAAGGAGTGAGGTCAGTGGTAGATACTTTGAGGGAAAAGGAGTGGGGATGTAACAACAGAGTCAGGTAGTGCATTTCAGGCATTGACCACTCTGTTGCTGAAGTTGTACTGCAATCAAGTTTGGAGCGGTTAACCTTGAGTTTGTATCTGTTGTGCGCTCTTGTGTTGTTGCAGTTGAAGCTGAAGTAGTCATTGACTGGTAGGACATTGTAGCAGATAATTTTGTGTACTACACTTAAGTCCAACCGTAGGCGGCGTAGTTCAAGGTTGTCCAAGCCCAAAATTTCAAGCCTGGTGATGTAGGGTATTCTGTTGCGAGCAGAGGAGTGTAGTACTCTTCTCGTGAAATACTTCAGGACTGGCTCAATTGTATTAATGTCTGATATGCAGTGCAGATTCCAGAGAGTGGAGCTGTATTCAAGTGCTGCTCTAGCAAAGGTTTTGTATGCCCTAGTTTGCAAATCAGTATTACCAGAGGAGAAGCGTTGTAATTAATTGGGGTTTCCTCCCTCTCCTTAGTTCCTCCCCTACCAATTCTCTTGTCTCTTTGATGTTAAATCTTGCTTGTCACTCCCTGGCCACCAATGCCCCAAACCTTGTCTAGATGCATTTCTATGTCAAACGGCTCCATTGTTAATCCACTTGTCTATGTGGAAGAAGTTGTCCTGTCTTTCTAATAATTCTCTTGCTGCAACAATTAGCATTCCTCAGGCTTGACAGGGATAGAAAAATTGTCCCATTATAAAGCTCGTTTGATTTTCCCCAGAAGATGTGGGAGAGCAGCTTTCCTTAGCAACTTACATATGGATTACATGGGGACATGTACACAAGCTCCAATGTCGGAGGAGGGAAATTTCAATCAAGTGCAAGGTTTATGCTCCTTTGATACTTTGGTTTTCTACTTCTAAAGCAGCATTTCTAAACCTTGACAACTATGTTGGCGGGGGAATTCAGAGAGTTAAAATCCACACAACTTCAAGCTGCCCAGGTTGAGAATCATTGTTCTAAGGATTCCAATAATAGATATAGTTTGTGTTTTTACCAACGGATGCTTTCAGTTTGTAAGAAAATGTCATGTTCTGTTTAATACACCTTGTGCCCGATTGTTGAGCTGAGTAGAATTATCACACTGTTAGCCATAAATGCCTCATATCCATTAGCCCAGAGTACCTTGCTCAAATAGAACCCAAGCCAGAAAAGTAGATTAAAATGTCTTAATTATGTACACAAGTAAGGAGAGGCACCTCACCGAGGAGAGGAGCAGCTTAGAACAGAAGAAAATCACTTTATATACAGTTTAAACTTCCCGGGTTTGGAACGAGTTTTCATTGGTTAGCATCATTTGAGACATCTCTGATGCAGCACACATGCTCAGTACCTTTAGTATGTAGCATGTAATATTCTGTAGTACCCCAAAATATCATTAGTCTGATCTTGTTAATGCATATCCTCATATTCAGGAGGTTTTTACGTTATAATGAAGCATAAAAAAGATTGCAAGTAAGTAAAGTTCAAGTCAGGGTCCACAACAGGTTTAAACCAGTTCTCTTATCAGACTGTACAGAACTTTCTTTGTTTCCTCAGGGACTAGAAACTTTAATCAAAGAAACTCCCAGTTGCTGGAAGCATTTAATCAGTGCGGCTAGCCGCCATGAATACCTTTTTGGTAAAGCCAGCAGAATTAACCTTTTATTTCTCCCCCTCCCCTCTTTGGCTCACCTTTGCTCTGCACCCCTATCCTCATCTGGGCCTGCAGGCAGGGAATGTTCTTTTGAGCAGCTGGAACATGTCCGGGAGATGCAGGAGAAACTCGCCCGCCTGCACTTCAGCCTGGATGTTTATGTGGAGGAACTTGTGGAAGACCAGAAGAAAACCGTAGCTGACAGGAATCTGGACCAGCTGCTGACCAATGTGAGTGTCCCAAGCGATTGCCGCCTTCTCGTCTTCAGAGGACCCCTCCCTTTCCTGTCCTCCTCCTTTCTTTGGCTGGGGACTAAAATAAGTCTAAGGACCAGACTCTTCCCTCCTTCAGACGATAAGAACGAACTTTTGAAAACTGGGTATTTCAAAAGGAATTCTTTATTGAAGAGGAAAAAAAGCAAGTCCACATTCAAAGCAGGGTCTGATATCCCTCTGGGCACGCAAGTAAAGGGAGTTAGAACCCCCTCCCCTTGGTCCGGTGTGGATTTCGCCAATACGCAGAAGCAAACACGTTATTTTCCCCTCGCCTCTGAGAACGTAGCTGAGAAGAGATTCCCAGGAAGTTTCTTTCCGTATTTATATGGCCATCTCTCCGAGGTGAGAAGTTTCCAGGCATCTGGGGCGCCAGGCAACGGTTGTAAATCGTGTCATACAGATTCAGTACAAGAGTTAGAATATTCAGGTTACATAAAAAAGAATTACTTGTATCAACCCCTCCCCCCCTCTTCTTCTTCCATTGAAGAATGGCAGATACACGGATCTGACCATAAGTTGCATGGTTCAGGGTGACTGCTGGGCTTGATGGGAGAACAATTTGAAACAAAAGTGGACTTTGTCCTAGATGGGGGAAGGGTTGGGAGTGTCTTGTTTTGATGACCATGTCCTAGCTCCCACCACTGCTCATAGGGCAATGATTGCAGGAACTGGGCATGGCTGGTCTAGTGAAGAGAAGGACCAGGGGAGACAGGATAGCATCTTCCAGTATTTGAGAGGCTGCCACAGAGAGGAGGAGGGGGTCAAGCTATTCTCCAAAGCCCCCCAAAGGCCAGACAGGAATAATGGATGGAAGCTGAACAAGGAGAGATTCAATCTGGAAATCAGGAGAAACTTTCTGACAGTGAGAGCAATGTAATCAATAGAATAGCTTGCCTTCGGAAATTGTGGAAGCTTCATCACTTGAGACTTTTAAGGAAAGACTGGACTGCCACCTGTGAAAAATGCTGTAGGGCCTGCTTGGGCAGGGGGTTGGACTAGATGACCTACAAGGTCCCTTGCAACTCTGTTAATCTGTCCATATCTTTATCTTGTTTCGTTGTTTAAATTAAGCTCCTGGAATTATGGTCGGGCAGCTTCCTTCGTGCCTGTCCCTGCGCCTGGTGTAACGTGATCTTGGACAAGGCTTCTGGGGTTGTGCCTCTTGCATATGTTCACAATGCTTTTTTTTTTTTTTTGCTTTTTCCATTTGTTTTTGCAGCTGGAAGAACTCAGCAATTCCATGTATCCTTTTTGTAGGGCCCAAGGTGGTTCTCCTGGCAAACTGGCCCGGAGGTGGGGAAGGAAGAAGGATGTGAATGGGGTGCTGTTTAAGAGAACAAGGTGGCTTCTGGGGAGGCAGTGCCTGGGTGTCCATGGGGACGGGGAGTCCTTGTGTAAAGGACTTCATTGTGCTTTGCCCTGGACACTTAAATCCAAGGGGCAGCCAATCTCTGGTCTACAACAATTAAGATAATATGACACAACATCTCTGCCACTGTACGACTTGTACAAAGTGCAGGTAGTCCTTGCCTTACTACTCTAATATAGCCTGGAATTTCCATATGTCATGATGGCCATAAATTGAGACACCATTTTAAAGCAGATGCTGTGCCTGTTAAGATGCTGTGTCTTGTCCATAAACTGGTGTTTACTGTCATTTTCCAGTTTAAAAAAAACCACAATAAATTGTGGTCACGTGACTGCAAACTGGCATAAACACAGGCTGGTTGCTGAGCATCCAAGATGCAGTCATGTGACTGCAGATAGGGACACAGCCATTGGAGCTCCAAATCTGGGAGGTTGGAAGTACCTTTTTTCGAGGCCCTGGTACCTTTGAACGGTTGCTATTCAACCAGTTCTAAATTGAGGACTACTTGTATTACAAGTGAGCCCCTTTCTCCTATCAACAACCCGCGGGCAAAGATGCTGATTTATCTTAGAAGTTTGGTTACCAAGACATAGCAATACAGGCTAAAATGGCCCTGGGTGGCTCATGTATGGTGTGAAACCACCCACTCAATTGTTACGAGAGCCAACCTAGTTTAAGAGGGCTAAATTTTGCACCTGGTCATGGAGCTCACAGACTGATCTTGGGAACTGTCAGTGTGCAAACATTCCATGAGCTACGTCTGTGTTGCTTGGTCCTCCCAAATTGGAGGAGTAAACAATCTTAACAGATGTTAGTGCCCATCTTTTCAAGTAGACAGGTTGGTGTGGGTGTACTCTTCCAGGTTCCTCAATGTTAATGTTACATGCTCCAGATTCAATAGAGAGCTGCAATCTGAACTAAGTCAACATGGCTGATGTTCATAACAATATTATGTTTCATAGGATGAACCAATGGCAGAGACGTCCCTCGGTAGATGGGGGTCAAATAGGCAAGACCAGCATTTCTCAACCTTGGCAACTTTAAGATGGTGGACTTCAACTCCCAGAATTCCCCAGACAGCAAGTCTGTTGAAGTGCACCCATCTTAAAAGTTGCCAAAGTAAAGAAACACTAGTCAAGACAAGGACTGCAGCTGCACAATTGAAGCCTTGCCCTTTTGTTTACATGTATTGAATCTTTGGTTGTGGCTACCATCTTGGCTTTTTTCACCCCGAGATACAACCTTGCATCAAGATTCCTTGCTGTTGGTCATTTGGACTGAGACTGATAGGAGCTGAAGTCCCAAACTTCAGGCAGCTGGTCTATCCGAGCTATAGAAGCCCAGAGAAAGTGCCAGGATAAATGGCTGCTCTCCGCCTTTTCCTGTTCATTTCTTAACCCTTTACCTTAGACAAAAGCTTCACCTGGCTGAAAACCCTGATGTGGAAGAAGCACCCAACGCCTAGAAGAGGCACCGGGAAGGGCCAGGCTGGCCCCCTTCTGACGAGGCCTCGAGATGGACGTCCCACAAAGATGTCTGCTTCTGAATTATTATGTAAAAACGTTAGGGGCTGCCAGATGGAAAGAGGCAGAAACATGTAAGCAGCAGGACTGGAGATTGGCAGGAGGCAGAAAGCTCAAGGGAAAAGAGCCTGTTCTGCATGGAAGGAAGCAAGGAAGGCAAAGGAGTGGGACCGGCTAGGATACTGATCTTCCACATTGGAGCCCTGAGTCGAGCTGAGAGAGACCCCCTTCTGTTCAGATTCACAAGAGAAGGAGGCTTCTGGTTTCCCTTTCCTTGCAGTGTCGCTCCAGGTTCCATAACTGACAGACCTTTCCAGAAATTTGATGAGCAGCAGACACAACACCAGTGGTGGCCTTGAATTCTCACTCCTCCTGCTGTATGAACTGGGCACCTCTCATTTTAAATAGTTTTGTTTTTGTAATGCTCCATGAGTTTGATCTCCTACATCCTGTGCCTTCTTTGCACATGGCCTTAGTCTGGGAGCTATGTATTATTCTTTCCAAGAACACAATTAGTATATTAGGGGTGGGACAATGGCTTTGGGGAGAGCTTGGAAAAAGCCCCCATTATTCATGATGATCCTTTTATGTTCCTCCTTTTTCACTTGGATCTATTGCTGTGGGGGAACAGATGAATTCCGACCGCATTGAACGTGAAAGTGACTGGGGAATGCTTGTGCTGAGATGATTCTTGAGACAGGATCTATCCCTGCATCCCCCCTGCCCCCCCTCTCCAGTCTCCCTGGCTGGGGACAGGCAGAGGCTGAGCTACTTGGTTTCCTTGTCAAAGGCTGTCAAGTCAGGAAAGCCAGTGCAGAACCAGAGCGGTTGACTTGAGAACAGGTGGAGAGACCTTCTGTTCAGCAGTGGTCAAGCGCAGACTTCTGTCCCAAAAACCATTTGAATCTACTAACTAGCGTATTTCCAGAAGGCTTTGTCTGTATTGGGGACGATTTATTCCTTTGTAAGCAATTCCCAGAGAGAAGAGCTCTGCGTTGAGTTCGCTCCGAGCTGCAGACTCTGGTTCGAGTGAGCTAACAATGCCATCAATTCGCTTACAGAAACTCTTGGTCATAAAAGAAAAAAAAACACATTTGAAATTATACTCTGTTTTTGGTTACTTTTATTGAGCAGGAGCGGGTTGCCCATTCTGAGATATTCCTGTAGAACAGGGCTGGGGAACTATGGCCCCTTTATGACTTGTGGACCAACTCCCAGAATTTATTTTCTTTTTTCTTTTGAATATTTTTATTGAACAATTTTCCTCATTTCATAACACAATTTTCATTTTTTTTGCAACACTTCAGTATCGGTATACATATGGTTTCCATACATTTTTGGTGTGTGTGTGTATACATATATATATTCCTTTATATATGTTATTCCACTAACATGTACAATATGTATTTATTATTCTGAATATTTTCCCCTTTTATGTTTTATAGTGCATATTTTACATTTTATTATCCTACTGTAATATTTCATATCTTTATTTTTATATCTACTATTTATTCCAAATCAAATGGCATTCAGTTTCTCCTCTATCTTTTATTTCCATTGTCAGTCTCTCCATCTCAGCGCACTGTAATACTTTATCACACTTTCCTCAGATGGTATAGTACCATTTTTCCAATTTTGTGCATAAATGACTCTGGCCGCTGTTATTAAGTGTAGCATTAGATATTGTGTTTTTGTGTCATATTTCCTTGTTATTATGCCTAGTAAGACTATCTTTGGTTTTAGCTCTGCTTGTTCTTTGGTTATTTCCCCTATCCACGTTCTTATCCTTATCCAATATTTTTTTACTACTGGGCACGTCCACCACATATGATATGTTCCTGGAGTCTGTTTACATTTCCAGCATTCCCAGATCTTCCTGTAGAAAAAGGGCTGGGGAACTATGTCCCTTCTATGACTTGGGAACTTTAACTCCCAGAATTTCTAAGATAGCCATGGCTGGTTCAGCAATTCTGGGAGTCATAAAAGGGACCATAGTTCCCCAGCCCTGTTGTAGAATAAAGCTTTATTTATTTATTTTTATTTGTCAATTGCTTACAAGATAATAGGTATAAGTAAAAACATAGTTATGAATACATGGATACATATAAGAAAAATAAAAATATATAAAAGAAACAATAGGACTGGGGCTGTAGGCACGTTGGTGCGCTTATGCACGCCCCCTACAAGACCTCTTAGGAAAGGGGTGAGGTCAATAGTAGACAGTCTAAGGTTAAAGTTTTTGGGGTTTGGGGAAGAAACCACAGAGTCAGGTACAGTATTCCAGACATTGATCACTCTGTTGCTAAAAGTCGTATTTCCTGCAATCAAGTTTGGTGCGGTTAACCTTGAGTTTGTATCTATTGTTTGCTCTTGTATTGTTATGGTAGAAGCTGAAGTATTCATTGACCGGTAAGTCATTGCAATGTATAATCATATACATTATATACTATACTTAGATCGGACCGAAGGCGGCGTAGTTCTAGATTTTCTAGGTCTAGAATTTCGAGTCTGGTGGCAATATTTGATCATTTCTCTTTTTTTATGGCTGGGAGTGTTGATGGGGGGACGGGCCGCGAAGGGCTCTGCCGCCGTTGGAGCATTGCTGGCGGGGGAATTCTGGGAGTCGAACCCCCCCCCCCATTTTAGAGTCGCCAAGCACAGGGGTCTCCAACCTTGGCAACTTGTGGACTTCAACTCCCAGAATTCCTCAGCCAGCTTGCACAAGTCTTAAAGTTGCCAAGGTTGGAGACCCTTGGTCAAGCAGCCTCTGCCTTCTGGCAGGACGTCGCGCAGTGAAGACGTCAGAAGCCGGCGCCCCGTCGCACACCTGATGGGCTGGGCCCTTCGCACCCCCACTTTAGCCTGAAGAACCTGGCCAATTAGAGGGGGGGGGGTCGGACACACCAGATTTCTGTGGACCCCCCTCCCGCTGGGAATGATGGAACCTGGAACTCAGCGCAGCTGAAAAGCGGACCCCCACCCAAACAACCTCTGGCCGTGGGCGGGGCGCGTGTTCCCCTTCGCTGACGTCATCAGGGGGCGCGGTTGCCGTTGCTCGCGGGAGGATGCGGGAGGCGGCGGCGGCGGCGGCGCGGCTGCAGGTGGGCGGGGGAGGTTCGCGGCTCGGCCTAGGCCGGCGCCGGGGTCGGTGGACAGAAGCCCCGGCCGGGCTAAGCCCCAGCGGGGCCGCCTCTGTGCGGGGCTGCGCCGAGGAATGGAGGGAGGGAAGTTGCCGAGGAGCACCGAGCGAAAGGCAGCGCTGTGAGGCGCCGGGAGGACCGCCTTGGCTCTTACGGCGGGCGCCGCACCCAGCCCTCGGCCCTTGCGGCGCTTCCGCTGCCCTGGAGTGGAAAAGCTGGGGGCCTCCTGGCCTCTCCTGCCTCGCCCCGAATTTGTGGTCTCCCTCAACTTCTTCTGGGGAAGGTCTTTGTTTCAGCCCAGGCAGTCCTCGACTTATAGCCACTCATTTAGTGACCGTTCGAAGATAGCAGCAGCACTGAAAAAGTGACACATGGCCGCGTTTCACAGTTAGGACCGCTGCGGCTCTCCCACGCGGCCGTGTGCGGAAAGTTCAGCCGCTTGGCAACAGGCGGGCGTGTCTGTGCCTGTGTGTGTCAGCGTCTTTTGCGCCCTGACCAAGCAAAGCCAAAGGGGAAGCCAACGCTCACTTCAGAGCCACGTTCCTAACTTACCAACTGAAGCGATTCACTTAGGGAAGGGTAGCAAGGAAGATTGTAAAACAGCGCAAAACTCATTGCAACAACTGTGTTGCTTAGCAAGGGAGATTCGGGGCTCAATTGTAATTGCAAGCCGAGGGCTCCTTGTAGTAGAAATGGTGAGGGGATTAGAAGGTTCAGGTAACTGTAAAAGAGTTCTGGGCTTCCTTCCTCTTCCTCGCCTTCAGTATTTAAGAATTAGACCCTGGCATTGGAATGGGCACAAGTAAGGGCTGGCTTCCTCCTTGCCCTCGCTCCCCTGTCAAATGGCAGCTGAGAGAAAGAAAAACCACCCGTTAAGCATCTCCCTATCAACTCCTTTAATACTGGAGAAACTCAATCCGTGCTGCCTTGTTGTATGCCAAGACTGGTCATTTCTGTGCAGCTGTGATTGTGCTTTGTTCCCATTCAGGCTGTTGTCAGGGGTTACCTGATCAGGAAAAGGCTTCAAAGCATAAGGAGTAAGTATGAGAGCATCGTCAAGGAAATTGAAGGGGACTTCGATTGGCTTCAGTGGACTGGCCATCTCTTCCCAAGACCAGCATTTTTCTCAAAGGTAGGACTGTCGATAGGCTCATCTCTTAAGCAGAAGTAGGAGTATCGATCCGTTGTTGAAATGCTTCAGGGGGGAATTAAAGGTTTAGTGGTTAAGGCATCAGCTAGAAACCAGAAGGCTGTGAGTTCTGATTTTACCTTAAGCATGAAAACCATCTAGACCAACAGATCCCAAACTTTGCAGCTTGGCAGCCTGGCTGGGGGGGAGGGGAGGAGGGGAAGTGAACTGTTCAAGCATGCAAATACACACACAGCTCAACTGTGCGCTGGCCCAGCGTGGCCCATGGCTCGGTTGCAAATACACCACGGCCTGGTAATGGGCCAGAGGTTGGGGACCCCTGATCTAGATAACTATTTTTCAGTCTAATAGACTGTCATATTCCAGAACTGCAATCTACCTGGAGTGCCCAGAAGTACTGTACAAGGTGTTCAGTGCTCAGAGCACTAAGGAAGACTGAAACCCGACTGCCACTGAACAAGGCACATAAGTTGAAACGGCAACTTTCTGGGCCAAGAAATATCTGAAGACAGATTTTTCAAAGATTTTATCTACTGATGGGATGAGAATGACTCTTGATGGACCAAACAGATGGACCTGTGGCTGGATCAGTAATGGCCACAGAGCTCCACTTCGACTTCGACGCCAGTAAGGTGGAAGTGGGGTACTGGGATGGGCTGTTGTTATTAAAGATGAGCTAGTTGGACCTTTTTGGGTTGAAGATGCACTCAAAATCTACTCCCAAACCTACTTCCAGTTTTTAGAAGACACTTTCTTCAAGCAGTGGTACAGGAAAAAATCTGCATCTTTCAAGAAGACCATGATTTTTCTGCAGAACAATGCTCCATTGCATGCATTGAAGTACTCCACTGTGTGGCTAGCCTGTAAAGGTTTTAAAGATGAAAGAATAATGACATGGTCCTCACCTGACCTAAACCCTATTGAGAACTTGTGGACTTCTCACAATCGGGAGATTTATGGTGACAGAAAACAGTCCACCTCTCTGAACAGTGTCTAGGAGGCTGTGGTTGCTGTTGCACCAAAGGTTGATCGTCAACAAATAAAGAAATTGATAGACTCCATGAATGGAAGGCTTATGACTGTTATTGAAAAGGGTGGCTATATCGGTCACAAGTTTTATTTTGAAATGTCAGAAATGTTTATTTGTACCTTTTGAATTGTTTATTATTCTCAGTTTAACACATGCAAATAAATGAGTGAAATGGGCAAATTTTCATTCTTCATTTAGTTGCATGATAATTGCACACACAGATATTTTTATAAGAAAGGCAAAACCTCAGTTTTACTTCCTTAAATATTCAGGTTTGAAGTTTATTAACATTTTGGATTGACCGAGAGCACTAGTTGTTCAATAATACAATTAATCCTCCAAAATACAACTTGCCTGATAACTGTGCACACAATGTAGCTTAAGATGGTAATTTGTGTTCATGCAACATGCTAAGTCAATGGTTGGTGCCTACAACATGCTGAGTTATGAATTACTTTGCATTAGACTAACATAATAAATGAACTAAACCGACCTTTTCATTACCTTGATCTCAGATGACCCTATAAATTGAGTGAATGAGGGACTAAATCTCTGCTGTTTGAGCCGAAGCAGTGAAATGCAGCATTTTTAGGAGGCTTCTACTTGGTTTCTGTATTTCTGGGATGCCTGGATTGTCCTATTAAACTGGATGCAGAAAAGCACCAGACTTCTGTCTCTGGCATGAGGAAGTTCAGGAATTGGCCAGAACACTATGAATGGTGGGGGGGAGTAGGGGGTCCTGCTTCTTTCTGATGACACCTTTAAGAATTTATTGGTTTTTCTTTACTCCCCAATTAGGAATTAATACATGCAGTTCTATCTTCTGTTTGCAAATATGTTCCCTCCACATAGAGATGAACTTCATGTGTGTTTGTTGTAACAAAACTAACAGTCTGGTAGTATTCAGTATATAGAATACTGCCTTTGTTTACCATATAAATGTTTGCTTTTTGTTTGATGTGTAATAGGATGTGCAATGCTCTCTGCAACACAGAGCTGCACATTCAACTAGAAAATATCTTGCTCTGTACATAATGATCATTCTCTTTTTAAGGGTAATCTTTTTATTTTGCATTATTGTTTTATATTGATGAATTTTATTTTTGTATTTACAGTCTTCTAAGAAATCAATAAAGCAATTCAACAGAGAAGAGATTAAAATTGACAAGCCACAAAAACAGGATGCACAATATTTTCAAGAGGCATCACCGTCTAAACAAATGTGTGACTTTGAGATGCAGTTTCCAAGCCGACTACTGCCTGAAGTGACGGCTGAACCCAAGATCGGCGAGGTAGGACAGCAAGCTCTGGATGCTCACTCAGGGAATGTCTGCAGCCTGCCAGCAGAAAATGAGGAAGGCGGGGAACCCAGCAATACCTCATCTGACTGGAGCAGCACAGTTCTGGGGATGGAGTCTCCCAGGTTGAGTCAGGGTAAGTTAGGCGCTGGAAGAACCCTGGACTTTGGTAAACTGAGCAGACAGTACATCTGTACATCCAAGTTCCTGGATAGCATCAATCTTCTTCCTAACAACTTTACAGAAGCAGTATTGTGTGCGTGTGTGTGTATAAGTGAGATGGTTGCCTTGCCCAGCTTGAGGAGGGAGGCAATCTTGTTTCTGACCGCCTTGTTCTTTGCTTCTCCAGAGTCTCATTTCCCCAAAGCACCGGAAATGCCCAGAGGGATGCCTGACCTGCAGAACTACCGCAAGCACCTGGCCATGGAGCTGCTCTGGCTGCAGCAGGCAATTGCCAGCCGTAAGAATGTAAGGACACTGCCTTTGGGTTGCTTGTCGGACTTTTGTCTTGTGGAGCAGCCATCACCCAAATGCCAGATGGTTTGGCACAGTTCTTGTGATGACCGCTTCTTCTATAAGCTGACGGATGGCATGGGGAGGAGAGGTATTTCTGCATTGTCCCGGGCTTGGGCAAAAGCGGGATCCCTCGGGGTGTGGAAGAGCGTGCATCTTTAAAAGTCAGAACCGTACTAGTAGATGCATTGGACAGGGATTAAAACTATGAAGGGAATAAAGGTTCATGGTCTCCTTTGGAATATAGTGATTTGTGTCACTTTATTAGGATAGCTGCAACCTTTGATGTAGATTTTGTTTGCTTTCATTTGTTTTTATTTCTGTCGTAGTATTTGATCCTGAAACGGAGGTTGGGGAAACCAGCCTGAGAGCTCAGCAGATCTCGCATGTGACCTTTTCACACTGAACTGGAAGCTCACACTTTGACCTGCTACTTCCAGAAAGGAAGCAAGGGGCTGCAGGCAAGGCATCCGCCATGTTTCCTTAGAGAGGCCGCATTCGGAAGTCACCACTGAGACTTACAAAAGTAACTGTGAAAACTGGAGACTGCAAACGCTTTTCAAGGCTGGCAGACTTTTTGGAATTGCAGTTGCAGAAGCTTCTTTTGTGCTCTTTTGGTGGAGCAACGACGGAATGTCCGTTTTACCAGCATTTGCAAAGCTACAGTAGCTAGTAATCAGTGGGCCATGCAAGCTGCTGCCTCATGTGGCCTTTTCCCCCGTCAGTTACTTTAGAGCAGCTTTGACCAGATAGTTTTCAATTCCTGGAGATTATTCCAGGGTCCCGTATTGTAGCTGACTCCGGTATTCTGCTTTTTGTGGCTACTGACTGATTATTCTTAAAGTCTTTACTACATGGTTGGTTTTGCTATTTTGCTGGCTTGTTTTTTTTATTTTAAATTTGGATGCCCTCTATTATTAAATTATTATGAAGTTAAATAAAACATTTTCCTCCATGCCCCATTTTTGGCCTGTGACTGTAAAATTAGGCAGTACCCCACATTTTTCAACTGTGCTGGGCAGTTTGAATCTGCCAGAGACATTATGGGTATTTCTCAACTTACGATTACAATTGGGATCAGTTCCGTTGCTTAGCGGTTGTTAAATGAGTCATGCCTGATTTTAAGATCTTTCCACCACATTTGTAAGTAAATCACTGCAGTCCCTAAATGAATCACGTGGTTGTTGAGGAAATCCAGCTTCACCTGTTGACTTAGCTTGTTGGAAAGTTGCAGTTTTACTGTGGGAAATTCTGGGAGTTGAAGTTCAGATGTCTTAAAAGATGCTGAGATTGGGAAACATTGCCCCAAATTAAACAAGGCAGTAGCAATACTCTAGTGTGATTTTTCGCCAAAGATCCCCAGAGTGGGTTACATTAGTTCAACAAAAGATACCCCCTTCTGTGCAAGCTTGAACACTAAAGGAGAGAAAGCAAAAGAAAGCATTTAAAGAGAGAAGCTCCCCAAATGAAATTAGCAGCAGGAGTAATAACTTCTCTGGCAGGACTGGTCAGTCTCATAATCTTTTAGTTTTTTAAGGGCTTTTGGGAAGTTGCAGGTTCCGCAATGAACATGTGGAACGGTGCGGGCCAAGAACAGAGAGGAGCCCTAAACACAGGCCACTGTTGCTTTATTAATACTGGTGGTTTTTATTTCCTTCCAAATCCACTTGTGCGTTCACAGTCTCTGCAAAACAGATTGGCATTTTACATGAGCCGTTCACCTCAGAGTCATTTTGTAGCACTTGCATTTCCACCCTGGTGGCAGCACAAGGCCGCCCGTTGCGCCTGGGTGGGATGTGAAAAGCTCACTGACTGGGGAAAGCACTTCACGTGGAGTTTATTATGTTTTTCGCCCAAAAACTCTCCCTTGACTGGGGCAACCCTGGCTTACTCTCCAGCCATCTGCACTAGATCGAGCAGAGGCAGAAGAGTAGAGAGGAGCATGTTAGTGTCTTTGTAGTCCCACCTTCATTACGGCGCCACCTCTGATCTCACGGACGGCGGAGCTGGCACCTCTGCTTCCAGGGCTGAAGGGTGTCCCGCTGTCATTCTAGAAAGAGGCTACTCATACCTCCACAAAAGAGAAGTTTCTGCCAGAGACACACCCAAGTCTTTCACCAAGCGGAGGGCACTCCCTCTCTCTTTCCTTGTTGAACCGACACTATGGAAACAGCATAGTTCTCTCTCAGAAGGCAGCCTGGCACACTCAGAAGAGTGGTGCCATTTGGCTGCAGAAGCCCCCAAGGTGCCCCCCTCTGCCAGGGAGCTTTCTCAGACGAGCCGCCTGCGGTCTGCAGCCTGGGAGAGATGGTCTCAGGCACTGTGGCAGTGGCACCCCTTGCCAAGAATGTGGTGGTCTTTCGCAACGGGGATCCCTTTTTCCTTGGCCGGAAATTTGTGGTGAGCCGCCGCCGGTTCCTGACTTTTGATGCCTTTTTGAATGAAGTGACCAGCACCGTCCAAGCCCCCGTGGCCATTAGGAGCATCTACACGCCTCGAGGGGGTCATCGCATCATGGAGCTGAGCGAGCTGCAGAACGGCTGCCGATACGTCGCTGCGGGTTTTGAGCGGTTCAAAAGGCTTGAGTAAGCAACCTAACCCAGTCCCTTTTTTACTACAGTCATAAAAACTTTAAAAGTGTATATATACCAGCCATCAAGGGCGAGATGAGAATCTAAAATAGAGGCCATTAAAAAGATTTTAGGGTGGAAATGAAAATGTAAAAATAAAATAAATGAAAATGTACTAGATTACAGAATACCCTAAACGTGGTAATGATGATTATGTAAAAGCACAATAATCAGCTGATGAATTTTGAACCTGATAATAGTGCCGAATGAAACTAGACAGTTTTAATACACAAGAGCAGCCGAGGGGGACAATTGTTCTGGCCGCCCTTGCAGCAACGGCAGAACGAGGTAGAATGGGAGCCTCTGCAGTGGGAGCACCGGAGGAGGAGGAGGAGGAGCACACGCTGTTCCTCTGCCTCCAGAACTGGCGGGGGGGGGGGGGGGGGGGGGGGGGGGGGGAGGGGCTTGCCACTCCAAGCCAGAGGCGCCTTCCTCAAGGACTGCTGGGGGCCAGAAGGGAGCCCCTTGTGTGCCAGCAACTGCCAATGCAGGGGAGCGGGAGGGAAGAGGACCCATTCACTGGCATGAAAGTTCACGGTAAAGATGGAGTAGACTCCGTGCAGGGTGTGACAGAGTGTGAGCCTGGCGGGTGGGGCAAGGAGAGGCCCTTCCAAGGCCCAGAGTTCCAGGGGAAGCCGAGCCAAGCCAAGTGCCAATCTGGCACCGGCAGGGGAACCAAAGCCCCTTCTTAGTCATTTACTTCCCCCTTGCAGCCAAGGACCAAGGAGAAAGACCCGAGTCAAAGCAGAACAGGCAGCCTGAGCAGGCTCTTGAAGCGCTGGGCTGTTCTCTAGAGCTGTCTGTCTGTTCTAGACTCCAAGGGAGGACCCAGGACCCTTGAATTATGACAACACCAAACTCCTGATGTCAGTCTTCAAGCAGCCCTTGTCCTTGTGGGAGTATCAAGAGGGCCGCTCTTGGCACCCAGCACGCAAGGCAGTATTTAAATTGCGTAGATACGCGGCAGCTTCTCCAGCACAAGATTTAAGTGGCCTTTGTTCAAAGAAGAGAGTCACAGCTCTGTAGAGCGCCTGGAATAGTGAAGAGAAGGCCTCCCCGTGGTGGAATCCTTCAAGTCCAGAATTTGGAGTTTAGAGAATTCATAGCCCTAATATTGTACATCTGGAAACCAGGTTGGAAAAAGCTGTAGTAGAAAGTTTCTATTTTTGTGGGGTTTCCTGGCATTTGACTTGAGGACATCTCCCATTAAATCTCATTTCGTTCTTCGGTCCCAAGGCACAGAACTGCCTTGAGTCTTTTCACTGGTTGCACCAGAAGCCTCTGGCTTTGTTTCCAAAAAATGAGCAAAATTTGAACTTCTACCCCTTGGACATCTTTCTCCAACCAGCCATTGTAGGGCCATTTTTGAGCTTGCCAGCTGACACTCCTGCAGCAGGTGCCTAATTGGTGAAAGCTAAGGAATGTCGGCCTCACAGCCATCTCTTAGCTATAGTTTGGGATTAGTTGCTGTCTTACTGCACAGAATTTTGGGGTTGGTTGCCTTCGGCTGGCCAATTGTTTGAACTGTCAGAAACATTATTTAAATCATAAGAGTGGGGGGGTATGGGGTGGTGGAACTCTGCTTTTTTACTTCAAGAATGCATCACACGTGCAGCTCATCTTCCTTCTAGAAAAGGTGTCCATCCCACAAGTTTTATTGGGGTGTGTGTGAATTAAAGATAAATTCAAACTCTTCTTTGAAATAAAGATGTGTTGAAGGGACAGTATTGTTTGTCTTCTCTGGTTGATCCAGCTCAGTGTTTCCCAATCTTGGCAGCTTGTAGTATGTGGACTTCAACTCCCAGCATGGCTGGCTGGGAAATTCTGGGAGTTGAAGTCCACTTCTTCCCTAAAAGTCATCTGGAGCATATCTAATGACATTGGAGGTGATGGGAGTTGTAATGTAATCCATATCTACGGCAAAGGATATGCTGGTTGTTTGACTGGAAAACACCCCTTAAGAGTTACTTTGCCACACTCTTTGGCCACTTCCAGAGATGCAGCAACCAGGGCTTATGCAATTTGTCTGCAGCATTCATGGAAGAAATGGTTGGACGTGGTAGTAGGTGAGTCTGCTCTGAACTGAGTCTTGAACTCAAAACTCTCCAGCACTGACTCACCTCAGTGGCTCATGTTCTTCCCAAATCATTTTTGACAGCTATGCAAATGTTGGAATGAAGCAGCTGAACCAGCACCAGAAAAAAAATGGAGCCCAGGTGAGTAAGTGGTCACAGGTGGGCCAAAGCTGGTTTCAGAACGGAACAGTCTAGTTCTGCTTTAGAAAAGTCCTAGGATGAGCGGATTTTATGCACTACCGGCCATTAGACAATTACAAGCTGGCTTTGGCTTACAACCACAACTGGGATCAGGATTTCTATTGCTACACAAGGGGCTTGTTAAGTATCACATCCACTTCTATGACCCTTTTTCCGCAGTTGTTAAGCAAATCATTGCAGTCATTAAGTGAATCACATGGTCATTAAATCCAGCTCTCCCCCCCCCCACACACACATACACAGAGTTTGCTTGTCGGAAGCTGGCTGTGAAGGTCTAAATGGCCACCGTGTGAGTCTGGGATGCTGCAACCATGGTAATCACATGCCAGCTGCCAAGCGCCCGAATGTTGGATCGCATGACCATGGGGGATGCTGTGGTGGTTGCAAGTTTAAGTACCCGTCGTAAGGCCCTTTTTTCAGTGCTGTTATAACTTTCAACAGACACTAAAGCAGGGGTGCACTAAAGCCACATGTGGCTCCAGAGCTGTGGGCTGCCGACCCCTGTCCTAGACCCTTCTGGGGGCTCTGCAAAGGAATACTTGCCAATACAAAAGGCTCGACACTCGGGAGAGGCTTTGGATCCAGAAGCTGCCTGCCTATTGTCCAAGTGTTGTATTATGTACCAATATAATAAAAGCAACCTAAAAGAGGATATTCTGCCGAAGGAGGCAGAGGCAAGCCAGGCTCCTCTAAGGCCTTGAGCATGTTGGGCTTGGACTTTGGAGCCGGCTGGGGAATTCTGGGAGTTGAAGTCCATGTATCTTAAAGGTGCTGAGGTTAAGAAACAGCATTAGAAGCAGTGGTGGGATTCAAAATGTTTTACTGCCTGTTCTGTGGGTATGGCTTGGTGGGCGTGGCAAAGGAAGGTTACTGCAAAATCCCCCTTCCCTTCCCTCCCCACTCCACTAACCTGCTTTCCAGCTCTGTTCTCCTGTGCAGGGCAACCAAAGAAGACCCAGCCGATCAGCTGGGACTCAACGGAAGGCAGAGAAGAGATGGGGTTGGCAGGGCCAGTCAGAGGTGGAATTGGCCAGTTCTTTGAACTACTTGAAATTTCCGCTACTGGTTCTCCAGAACTGGTCAGAACCAGCTGAATCCCACCTCTGACTAGAAACTACAAAGGGCAGATAATGATGTGTTATTGTTGCTGCTATTGATGATAATGATGTTTTGGCATCCAGAATTATCCAGGTGTTCCTCAGAAGGTGATGGTTACGGCAGGATGGAAGCGGCAAACGAACCTTCCTTGTGTCATCTAGTGAGTGACTCTCCTTGGAAATTCCCTCTCGGGTTAGGAAAGGAAGAAATGGGGCAGCTCAGGGAAGGAGACCCACTTTGGTCCAGAGGTTAAGGTAGCAGACGAAACCAAAGGTGGTGAATTCTACTCTCGCCTTAGCCATGATAGCTGGCTAGGTGACTCTGGGCTTGTCTCTCAGCCTGATCCACATCATGGAGTCGTTGTGGGGGAAAAGAGTAGGAGGAAGGAATATTAGGTATGTTAGCTGCTGTTTAAAATAAAGGCAGGATAAACATCTGACAAAGAAAGAAACAGCTAACTAAAGGCAGAATTGGCACAATTCGTTGTCTCTGTAGCAGAAGAACAGAATTGTCACAGACCTGGAAGGGGCCGGGCTGAGTGGGGAGGTCCTCTTCAGAGGGTCTTCCCAGTCTTAATCCAGCCCTTACTGCCAGTAAAGAAAAAAGATGGGCAAAGTGATTGGAAAACACAGGCAGGGTTATGAAAAAGGGACCAAACCCTTGTCCCCTCCCCCGGGTAAAATTCTGCCAGAATCTGAAGTATAAATACAAATAAATTAAGACGCACAGAAGACTTGAGATACTCTCTGCTTGTGGTGGAGTCCAGACGTTCACCTGTGCTCCACTCGTACAATTTGATGAAATCCAGATCCCCCCACAGGTGAATGAGAGGGAAATAGGAATAGCTGGGAGTCTTCCCTTAGGAAGCTCCACAGGGAAGGAAGCCGGGATTTCTGCTTCTGCTATTCCAGCGTTTTCCGCAACGGAGACCTGCTGAGCCCCCCCTTTCGAATGGTCCTGGCCAGGAGCGCCTTGCAGGAATGGGGCATCATCCTCAGCCGCTTGTCAGAAAAGGCAAATTTGCACACTGGAGTGGTGAAAAAGTAAGTGCTGTCCATGTCGTTTTACCATCCTTGTCTATTTCTTGGGGGGAGGGAGGGAAATCAAAGGCTCTGCCGCCTCCTTGCTGCTTCAGAACTAGGCTAGTTCGGCCCTCCAAATTCTCTGGCTTAAGGCCTGGAGGGGGCTGCCTCCTGGGGGTCTCTGTACACTGGGGTCCCGGCACTGAGTCCTGCTTCCAGAGAAGCAGAGGGACCTTGTCTTCCTGGGGGTGGGGGGGCATCAACACCAGCTGAGTATCATTTGGGGTAATTCTGCGCCCAGGAAGGTTGCTTCACAACTCTGTGCTTTCTATGCCAAAAAGCTTTATTTATATATAGCTTTACTGAGTGGGGAAGACCTCCCAAAGCCCCTTTTTTGGTAACAAAGAAGGCAAAGACTAGCCAGATTGCTCCATGTAGAGATTATTGATCCAGGGAAGAAAGAGGCTCGCGATTGCCCCCTCACACTCTTAATTGGAGATGGAGGAAGCAAGGAGTGGCTGTGAGGGGGTTCAGTGGTGTTGGAAGTACACCCCAAAAGGACAACGCCAGGAACCACTAAAGCAATGTAAACAGCTTAAAACAACCCTTCCCCTTTAAGAATGTCAAGTTCCGGAATAAAAGTACCAGCAGAGGAAAAAACTCCAGAGGAGCCAGCCACTCAGGCTATAGAAAGTCTGGTGTACTGCCAAGAAGCACTAATGGCTGTTACAATGTCACAAGGCTTAACTGCAGAGCCAGTTTCTGAAAACACTTCAACAGAGCAATAAAGATAAACAGGATTAGGCTAGAAACACAGAGGCACACCAGAACATTACCTTCCTGACAGGATTAACCCCATAAGGTGGGAAAAACAAAAGGCTGTTGGAAGGAGATTTCTCCCAACAGCCAGTTCGCCAAACTGCTCAGAAAGTTAG